GGGCTGCCCAGTCTGTCACGTGGCAGCTCCCTGGAGCCCAGTTTATTGGCCCTGTGTCAACAGTGAGGTTGGACACAGCCTGCTCAGGGGCTCTTGGGATGGAAAATTAACCAGGAGGCTCCCAAGGTGGGCACTGGAAGAGGGACCCAGGGACACAGGGCCCTACCTTGATGTCGTTGTCGATGCCTCCAGAGATGATCTGGTCGCTGGTGTCATTGAAGGTGACAGCCAGCACCTGGTAGGTGTTCTGGAATGTCTGCACAGCAGCTTTTTTCCTGATGTCCCACAGCTGGAAAGACGTGGCAGTTGTAGAAGGATGGATATTTAACATAAATATGGATATTTAGCAACAAAATCATGCACAAGGACTTGGAAGAGACGCAGATCACTCCCCTGAAATCCCCTTTGAGATCTCAGGAGATCTCTATAAAAACAAAGCTTAGAGCTACCTGGGCTAGTGGAAGGGGCATGGAACAAGATGAGCTTTAAGGTCCCTTCCCTTAAAATAATTAAATCTGGTGTGGTTGGAGCACAGGAATGAGGGGAGGGAAGGAGGACATTTTGGGAATGGCTTTTGTTAAACGAGATCAGCAGAAAAAGCACAACTCAGCAGGTGGATCTTTATGACCCTCCAAAAGAATTAAGGAACAAAAGGAGCAGCCAAATTTTGCTATGTTTTTTTACTTCTGAAGCCAAAGTTATAAGATAATGAAGTATTATGAATAAGGCTGAATTAAAAGGTAAGACCCAAAAAATTCTTCCAGAGCTCAAGAACTGAGGCCAAGACAATAAAGAAGAACTGGAAGGACCAAAGAAAGACTTCCAATAGGGGTGTGACTATGAAAAGCAAACCAATGAATATGTATTAAGAGACAATAGCTAATGAATCTGTAAACAGTGTGTGTAATAAAAAGCCCAGCCCACTTGTCAATGGCATTTTGACAATAATAAGATTATTTTACAATTATCTGATGTTCCTCCACAGAGGAGCATTAGAGGATTAGAGGAGCTCTCCTCCTAAATTAACATCTCCAAACTGGGCTTAAGAAGTTTGTTTCTGCTGCTTTTCAGTATCATTTTTGGCACCCCACATGGGACTGGAACCCACAATCCCCATAAAAATGGAAAAAGCCTGTGCATATATCTTTGTGAACCTAAGGCTTTAATTAATCAAAGAACTGTTTTCTACCTGTCTACACTCAAATCGTCCAGAGATTATTTCTCTGATTTCAGGTGACACAGGACACACTGACCTGGAAAAAGCTTGTGCTGTGGGGGGGGTGCATCGTACCTCTGTGCACCTCGAGGCCTTAATTAATGAAAGAGCTGCTTTCTACCTTCCTGTACCCAGAGTGCAGAGACTATTTCCCTGATTCCAGGAGGACAGGACACGCTGACCTTGACGGTGCCGTCGTCGCTGCCGGTGCAGACGAGCTGGGGGCCCCTCCGGGCCGGGTAACACGAGTTCACGAAGGACGTGTGGCCCTTCAGCCTCTTCACCCTCTCCCCGGTCTCACTGTCCCACACGGCCACGGTCTTGTCCGTGGAGGCTGAGAAGAGCATGCTGTGGGCAAGAGACACTGTGAGGGGCTCAGCCCCTCCAGCACTGCTCCCCCTCACACCTCTTTTACCGTGCTCAAAGCTGGGAAGCACCGGTGGGAGAAGAGTCACTCTCCCTAAATTGTTTTCCTGCCTCCCCGAACGCTCTCTGGGATGAACACAGCAGGAAAGCTCAGCAGCAACAGTTCAGATGCAACAGTGGAAAAGCCTTTTAAATTAACCAGCACCTCACTTGTTTTCTCTCCCTCCCCAGTGTCTCACAGATGCCCAAAATTAACTTTCCTCTGTTCCTCAAGACTGAATCAAGGGTACTGCTGGGTCACAGGTGACTTTGCTCACGCCAGGCAGGCACCAATCCTTACCTGGGAAAGCCATGTTACAGGGATTTGCAGTCCATGGATCGAGCAAAGGCAACAATCCCAGGATCAATGAGGTTGGAAAGGACCTTCCAGACCATTGAGTCCCCCCTGTGCCCATCCCCACCTTGTCCCCCAGCCCAGAGCACTGAGTGCCACGGCCAGGCCTTCCCTGGACACCTCCAGGGATGGGGACTCCAAACCTCCCTGGGCAGCCCCTGCCAAGGCCTGACCACCCTTTCCAGGAAGAAATTCCTCCTGATGTCCAACCTGAGCCTCCCCTGGCCCAGCTGGAGGCCGTTCCCTCTCCTCCTGTCCCTTGTTCCCTGGGAGCAGAGCCCGACCCCCCCCGGCTCCCCCCTCCTGTCAGGGGGTTGCAGAGCCAGAAGGTCCCCCCTGAGCCTCCTTTTCTCAGGCTGAGCCCCCCCAGCTCCCTCAGCTGCTCCTGCTGCTCCAGCCCCTTCCCCCTGATGTTCAGTGAGGGGGCTCTGAGCAGCAGGAAGGCCCCAAGCCCCCTGTCCCCACCTGCCATCCGTGTTGTAGTGCAGCTCCATGACGGCCCCGCTGTGCCCCTTCAGGGTGGCAAAGTTGTCACAGTCCCCGTAGACATTCCACAGCACTGGGGGAGAGGGAGGCACAGGTGAGCACAGAAAACCTGGGAACAGCTCCCTGCTGGGCATGGAGCCCTTCTCTGGGAATTCAGCAAATCAAAGGATGCACCATCCCCAGCACTGCCTCCAGTCTGGGACAACTCACAGCAACAACGAAGCGCCGTGAGAGCCTCAGGACAGAGATGCCTTGAGCTGATTTAGGGGGCTTGATTAAGGTGAATTCATTAAGAAAAGTAATAATCTTCCCCTCAGCAACCCCAAGCATTAAACTCTGTATTTCTGCAGACTCCTGTCACCTCTGTGAGGGACCTGGGGACACAGGGCTGTGCCCAGCAAGACATTTCCAGTCCCATCGGGACAGTGACCTGCCAGAGGAGCTGGAAAAAGCCTTCTGCAGCATGCCTGGGGAAACTGGAGAGCTGGGAAAAGCCTCTTGCACCTCTCCTGGGTAAGCCCTGGGAAAAGCTTTCTGTAGCCCTCCTGGAGAAGTTGGAGGAGCTGGAAAAAGCCTCCTGCACCCTTCCTAGAGAGCCAGAGGAGGTAGGAAAAGCTTCCTGCAACCCTCCTGGGGAAGCTGGAGAAGCTGGGAAAAGCCTCTTGGAGCCCTCCTGGGGAAGCCAAAGGAGCAGGGAAAAGCTTCCTGCACTCCTTCTGGGTAAGTCCTGGGAAAGCCTCCTGCACTTCTCCAGGAGAAGTCCTGGGAAAAGCTTCCTGCACATCTCCTGAGGAAGCTGGAGGATCTGGGAAAAGCCTCTTGTAGCCCTCCTGGGGAAGCCAGAGGAGCTGGAATAACCTTCCTGCACTTCTCCTGGGAAAAGCTTCCTGCACGTCTCCTGGAGAAGGTGAAGGAGCTGGAAAAAGCCTCCTGCAGCCCTCCTGGGGAAGTGCTGGGAAAAGCTTCCTGAATCCCTCCTGGGGAAGCAGGAGGAGCTGGGTAAAACTTCTGCACCACTCTTGGAGAAACCAGAGGTGGGAAAAGCTTCCTGAACCTCTCCTGGGGAAACCCTTTGTGCACAGGACCCAGCCAGATGAGGGCTGAGCTAAAACCCCTCGGCATCGTGTCCTGGGCCTGGTGAGCCCAGCCCAGCCCCGGGGACAGCAGTGACAGCAGGGACACTCACAGATGAGCCTGTCGAATCCAGCTGAGGCCAGGGTGTTGCCATTGGGGTGGAACTTGCAGCAATAAACCTCCCCCTCGTGCCCCGAGAGCAGCATGATGGGGGCCTGGAGTGAGGAACAGCGTGGGGGGCCCTGGGGACACAAAGGACACCATGAGTGACAAGGGACATCCCCAGTCTGTCAGACACCCCTCACAGCAGAGGTTCCACATCACATCCCACCAGTGTCCCATGGGGATTAGAGAGTCACTGACGTTGGAAAGTATCTCCAAAACCATCGAGTCCCCCCTGTGCCCATCCCCACCTTGTCCCCCAGCTCAGAGCACTCAGTGCCAAGTCCAGTCCTTCCTTGGACACCTCCAGGGATGGGGACTCCACCACCTTCCTGAGCAGCCCCTTCCAATATCTGACAGCCTTTTCCAGGAAGAAATTCCTGCTGATGTCCAACCTGACCCTCCCCTGGCACAGCTGGAGGCCGTTCCCTCTCCTCCTGTCCCTTGTTCCCTGGGAGCAGAGCCCGACCCCCCCCAGCTCCCCCCTCCTGTCAGGGGGTTGCAGAGCCAGAAGGTCCCCCCTGAGCCTCCTTTTCTCCAGGATGAGCCCCCCCAGCTCCCTCATCAACTCCTGGTGCTCCAGCCCCTTCCCAGGACACCTCCAGCCCCTCAATGTCTGTGGCCAAGAACTGGCCGCAGCTCTGGAGGTGCCTCAGCAGCGCCAGCGCAGGGTGTCCCCACACCCTGCCAGCCCCAAAACCCGTCGGAAGGTTCCCCTCCCTCCCCTCATCTTCCCCTCACCCTCCCCTCCCCTCGCCCCTCACTCCCCCCATTACCCCCTGCAGCAGCGCCCCGCCCGGGGGCTGCCCGCCGGCGCCGCCCGTGCCCGGCGCGCCCGGCACGTCATGACGGGGCCTCTTGGCGGGCACGGGAACGAGCGGGAGGTCTGCGGCGGGAGCCGGGGCAGCTCCAGGCGCGGCGGGGGCAGGAGCCGGGCCCGGCGCGGGAGCCGGAGCGGGGCCAGGGCCACCCGGCACCTTCCGCTTCTGCTGCTCGATCATGGCGGGGCCGGGCAGCCACGCCCCCCGCGCCCCATTGGGCAGCGAGACCACGCCCCCTCCTCCTATTGGTTAGCAGCACCGCTCCTGCCATGCTGATTGGCGAAACGGAGCTGGACGTCCCGCCGTCCCGCTGGATGTCCCGCCCTCTCTGCGGCGCGCGGGGTTAGAAGGGGATGCGCGGTGCCCGCCGGCGCGCCTGGCCCTGATTGGTGGAAGGCATGCCCCTTGCTTATACAACTAACGCTGATTGGCTGAGGCTGAGCACCACGCAGCATCGCGCGCGGCCATTGGCGCACTGAGCGGTCTCTCAGGGTGAGGAGCATGTCGGCGGTGGCGGGTGGGGGCGGCTGAGGGGGATGGCGAAGGTTCGATGTTGGCGCCGCGGGCGCTGAGGGGCCACGGCTGCCCCACGACCCTCGAGCAGCGCCGTGTTGTCTCACCGCGCCGCGTCCGTCCTTCAGCGCGGCACCGCGGGCTCTGCTCGGGTACAACCACCCCCTCCCCTCCCTGGAGCCGCTGGGCGCCTGCGGACGGAAGGTTCTCTGAGGGTTCTCTGAGGGGATTGATTCATTAATTCAATGTCTCTTTTCTCAGCGGTCCCGAGAGAAGATGCGATAGCCTGCGGTGAACCCATCTGGCGCTTCTGGGACCTTCGGAGGCGATGGAGCCGCTACCCGAGCTCTACGCGATCTTCCAGGGCGAGGTGCGGGGAGCGGCCGGGGGCGGCGGTGTCACAGCCTGGGCCGCGCTCTTTGGGCCGTTGTTATGTTGTTTTAGTTCTCTTTGTGCCTCTGTTGTGTTGTGTTAGGAGGTTTGGGTGGCTGGCGGTTCTGTGCCGCGCACACCCCTGTGTGTTTGTGGAGCGGTGTGTTCGTGTGCGGGTGTTTGTGCGGCGGTACAGGAGGGGGGATTCTGTCCCTCTGCAGAATTCAGACCCCCCTGCAGAGCTGCCCCAGCCCTGGGAACAACAGCACAAGGACGTGGAGCTGCTGGAGAGAGTCCAGAGGAGGCCCTGGAGATGCTCCAGGGCTGGAGCCCCTCTGCTCTGGAGCCAGGCTGGGAGAGCTGGGGGGGTTCCCCTGGAGAAGAGAAGGCTCCAGGGAGAGCTGAGAGCCCCTTGCAGGGCCTAAAGGGGCTCCAGGAGAGCTGGAGAGGGACTGGGGACAAGGGATGGAGGGACAGGACACAGGGAATGGCTTCAAATTGGAAAAGGGGAGATTTGGGGGAGATATTGGGAAGGAATTGTTTCGTGTGAGGGTGGTGAGGGGCTGGGATGGAATTCCCAGAGAAGCTGTGGCTGCCTCTGGATCCCTGGAAGTGTCCAAGGCCAGGTTGGACAGGGTTTGGAGCAACCTGGGCTGGTGGGAGGTGTCCCTGCCCATGGCAGGGGGTGGAATGAGATGAGGTTAAAGATTCATGTAAAAAAGCTTTTTAATAACTTAAATAAATTTATTTAATACTATATAAAGTATAATTGATAATTTATAATGTATATTATATATTACACATGCAATAATATGTAAATATAACATATATTATAATTATTCATTTAAATAAAACTTTAAAGGCTTTTAGAACCCTGAAATTGTAGGTTTCTTGTGCATTTTCTGACCTGTGATTTGAAAATGGGGCTTTGTGGAGAGTTTTCCTTCAGCTGCTGTGTTGGATTTTCTTCACAGGTTGCTGCAGTGACAGATTATGGGGCATTTATCAAAATTCCAGGCTGCAGGAAACAAGGTTTGTGCCTCTGATTTGCTTTGGATGCAGTTTCATGCTGGTGTTTTCAAGCCAAGAATTAACAGCTTTTAGAGAAAGCTTAGAAAAGGACTTTTTCCCCCTAAATTAGAAAAAAATTGGAGTTGGAAAGTATTTAGATGGGTGTTTTCAAGAATACCAAAAAAGACTGAGAGGGTTTTTTTGTAACCTTGGGGTGTTTTGTTGTCGGTTTTTGGTAATTTCAGGATATTGTGGTGTGGGGTTTTGGTAACTTCAGGATATTTTGCTCTGACTTTTTGGTAACTTCAAGAATCATTTGAAGATATTGGACAAACTGTAGAAACTCTCTGCAGTTAAGGTAGTTTGCCCACTGTACTTCTTTGATGGCCAGCATAAATGGGTGAAACAAAAAAGACTGAAACGAAGCTCAAATAAAAAATAAGGCTGAGAAGCTGATTTAAAGGCTCATCTGTGTTTGTGGGAGACCTGCAAACCCCAAATATCTCCTGAAGTTCCTGGTCACTGTAGGGCCACTGCAGTTTTCCATGTGGGTGTCTGTGGTTTCAGCTACAAAAACATTGCTTTGGAGGCCTCTTTCTGTATAATTTAGAGCAGCTCTTGATGAACTTTTACCTGTTTGATGGAGGCAACTCATTGTTTCTGACCTGCAGGAGGTACTGGAGGAAAGAAAAGGTTCCTCTTGCTCAGGGGAGCTGCTGAATGTGTTCCAGGTCTCCCAGAGCGGTGTCTCCAAGTGGATTTCATTGGGAATTCCCAGTTAAAATCAGCCAGACTTACCAGTTAAAAAAGTTTTGAGCACCCTCCCCAATAGATGT